GAGAGGGCGTTTAGGTGCGATCATGTCAACAGCCCTAGCCGCGGCAGCAAACCAGCCATCCACCAGAGCCTCGACAGGAGCGCCAGCCCGGTCAGCCGTAACACCTCTCATGGCATCCTGGAATCCAACCGGATCCAGTAGCCTTCGAGGGCGGACCATAACAATAGATCCCTGCTCCCTGCAGGGGGGGGGGAGAGCCATTTTAATGGTACACTTTATTAGGTGGTGATCCGACCATGACAAGGGTACCGACTCAAGGTCAGTCACCATCGGACCACTCTCACTCCCATTGGTAGAAAAAACCAGGTCAAGTGTATGACCCCCCACGTGAGTGGGGCCGTTGACATGTTGGGACATGTTCAAGAAGGCCATGGTCTCCAAGAACTCAAGAGCTGGACCAGAGGTCTCCGCCCCCGCGTGCACGTTGAAATCCCCCAGAACCAGTAGGTTCGGGGAACCCAACAGTGCCGCGGAGACGAAGTCCACCAGCTCCGGGGAGCACAGTAGCCCAGCAAGATCCCAATACCATCCCTGGCCCCGATAGACACGTGGAGGGCCTCAAGACCCGGCTTTATCACCAAGGAGCGCCTAGTGACCTCCAAGCTGGATTTATGGACAATGGCTACTCCCCCCCCGACCCAAGTAAAATGAAACAGTAATTAAAAAAACAACAACAAAACTTTTTTTCTGGGCTAGGACATTAATTATAATCAGGATCATTTTTATTTAAATCAAATTGTTTTAAATTGAGATTTGAATCATGATTTAAGACTCAGAAAGATTCAGTTTAATCATGTTATTCTATCCTCAAAATACTTTTGCTTGTTAAAACCTTCACATGTATTTTTCACAATCTTTTTGCTAAGACAGATTCTTGACCTCCAAGAATCTTCTATTTGCTGACACTGTCACTGTTTGAAAGTGTACATTTCCAAAGAAAACATTAAGGGCTTGACTTTGTCCACACAAGGTTGTAGCGGGATAACTAGGGTTGCTACTCTAAATAAACATCACTCAAGGAAATGACTGAAAGCAATCCTGGAAATTTTAAGAAGGCTTCAAGCATTTCTAATGTTATATCATGTGAACATGACAAAAAGCTCCAGGAAAACTTCAGTTGGAGTTGGAAAACAGGAAAGATCACATATGTTTTCCTGCATCTCCATATGCTGCTACTGATACGTATCTTTCAATAGGCAAACCCAGCCTGAGAACAACATTTTCTGATTTTATTTTCTAGACTGAGTACTTGGGGAAATAATGACTATGCATCGTCAACTCAATTTTGACTCATGGAAACTTTTTCAAGGGTTTTTTTTTTTAGATATACTTAGCAGTGACTAGGGACATAGGTTGATTTAAATAATCTATACTAAGGTTTATTAAGCAGTTTAAAATTGAGCCCCAACTTAAGAATTGTTGGGTCCTTTTCATAAAGCTTTTAAAAAGCTTTTACTGATATACTGCATCATAATATAGAATTAAAATGTATAATCAGTATATAGAGCTTTGACCTATAACTTATTGGCTGAAATCCTGTTTGGTAATTACATTTTCATAACTTGACAGTATGCAAACTTTAGTGCTCTTAGTGCCAAAGTGGAAGCGCTATTCATGAAGCACTTTTGCAAGCACACTGTGCAAGTGATTGCACAATCCTTCTTCCCAGGGCATAAAGCCCAGCACATTTACACAGGCATAACATTATGTTTTGTCTAAACAAATAGGATTCTTGCCATTTTAAATTAATCATATTGGCCCTTATTTTAAAAAAGCATTTTAAAAGCAAAATATAAAAAACCTCAAGTTTAAAATATAAACATCAGGTATTTTTAATTGTTTTATAATCTACTTTTAACTTACGGAGTTGAATGTTAGCTGCTTTAGAAAAACAAGTTATATTGGAATTATTCCATAGTAGCTCCTATTGCTTATAGAAACGCCATGTCCACTCCAACAAGTGTTGAAAGCAATTCTTAAGACTTCATCTGTGCAAGCTGTTTGGCAAGCTGTTCCACAACTGATTACAATTTCATTAGTAATCTGTTATCTGTGATACTTGTGCAATTACTAGCAGCTAATTCATGTGGTTTGTTGCTAGCTTAATGTTGGATACAACTCCTCCCCATTCCTCTACATACAGTAAATTAAAACATGGCTGTTCATTCCGCTTAGCAAAATCAGTCATTTTATTCAACTGATTTTACTTGTAAGTACAAAACTGTAAAATCAGGTCCAGAAAACAGTATAACCCTATCTGATTTTTAAAATAAAAGCCATTTAAATGAAACTGTTTAATAACTGTAATCATGTCAGAGCATGACATGCAGATGCTCACAAGTCCCACTCCAATCTCAGGGAAACACTTTGCTGAAATGATGGAAACTGAAAATATACCAACCTTTTCATTATACGGCTCATCACGCAACACTTCAGGTGCCATCCAGTAAGGAGAGCCCACCACTGGCAGTTTCTCACTTCATAGATTTAGAGGAACAAAGAGGTATTTATAAGCAGTGCTTCATAAGCACTTTGCAAACCCTTTAACTTTGAGGATGGGAACAGGCACCATCCCACACTAATAAAAATATTTCAGATTTGTTTTGGCAATTTTTAAAAGATGTCTCTTTAGATAACAGAAGACAGGTATAAAAAGTTTTTTTAGTTTGAACAAACATATTTTTAATAAGTAAAGTTTCATTGATTAAAAAATTCTTTTGGAAATTTCAACTGAATGTCATCACAGCAGCTATGATTTTTGGAAATTCAACTTCTTAATTCTGTCCCACAGCTTCCAAATGATGAAAGGGATTACATGGGAGATGTGGAAACCACAGAACAGAAATAAGAACTGTTTAATTTCTGTAAGTTACCTCCTGCTGATAACATCATTTGCCTTCTACAGGCATAGTTGTGTGAACATGATTTAAGAATGTGAATGGTTTGGTCAAATATTTCCAGTCTCTAAGAATATCTATTCTTGGTGCTATCAGTATATTAATCAGTCTCTTGTGCATCAGCTTTTAATCTTTTTTTCCTGTAGACTCAGAGAAAAGAAATAGTACACCTTTATGCTCTGTTGATTCATTAGTTATTTCACTGATCTGTTTTGTTACTCTTGTCAATAGTTTCATGGGTCTCTAGCCACATATGAGCCAGAGTGCCATTGGCCTTGCACCCTCTGCAGCACAAGAGTGACAGTTCCTATATTGACAGACTGTGGTACCATCTGGAAACTCTGTGCTCCAGAGTTCTGACTCCTGTTCTCTGAAGATGCTCGCCACCGAGACTGGCAAAACATTAGGAAGAAAAACCTTAAGAACATGACCAAACAGCCCGAAAAACCTACAACAATCCTATAGAAATTAACCAACTTATTGCAGCATCAAATTTGTTAACGAAAATCCACAGATGCATGAAATGTCACCCTCAGTTGGTAGATCTATTGTATATACACCCAGGTGTATACAGTGGTGCCTCGCATAACGAGCGCACTGTTTAACTACGAATCCGCATAGCAATCTATTTTCTTAGATCACTAATGCGATCGCATTGTGATGTTTTAATGGGCAAAACATTGCATTGTGATGATCGGAAAGCGTTTCGCTTACCGATCTTCGCATTGCAATGTTTTTTAAATAGCTGATCGGGGGTTCCAAAATGGCTGCCGGGTGCCCAAAATGGCCGGCGCCACCATTTTCGCGCGGTTTCCTCACTTACCGAGGGCGCGAAAATGGCAGCGCTATGGAGGATCTTCGCTGAACGGTGAGTTTGGGCCCCATAGGAACGCATTAAACGAAGTTTAATGCGTTCCTATGGGTTTTTCCGTTGCGTTTAGCGATGTTTTCACATAGCAACGATTAATCTGGAATGGATTAACGTCGCTATGCGGGGCACCACTGTAATTAAAAAAAACAAACAGTGAGATTTAAAGAGCCAAGAAAAACAGACTTGAAAGCAAGTGTGATTTGGTTCTTTCTTCTCTCCTATAATTTTACAGGTTTGCTGCTGATCTAAACATTGCTATAATGTTTAAACATTGCTATAACATTTCAAGGGGAAACCCGAGCACAGCTGGATTACAACTAATAAGAAAGTTTGATTATGTTTGAATTTCAATAGAAACAAACCATGTCCTATGACTGATACCAGTGCAATCAGCTTAATGAATTTTCATAAATTACAGTAACTGGAAATGGCCACTGCCTGTTTTCATACATTAAGCTTTACGAAATTGTTGGGTTATATATTTCACAGCTTTGAAATTTTATCTCCATTATTCACATTCCCTTTGCCTCTACGTGAAAGAGCATTCACAACTGCTAAGGATAATAACTTATTCATTTGATCAATTAAATTCCAATTCACAAAAGCTTATGTCATAATGAATCTCTTAATTTGTAAAGTCTTCACAAGACTCTGTCATTCTTTCAAAATCAGCAACTTAAAAGGCTAATTCAGTGGAAATAATCAGAAGGGCTTTTCTCAAGCTGAGTCTGAATGTTAAAAAGAATGTATCCATGGTCCAACTATCATTCTACTTCAAATGACAACAGCAGCGATTCTTCATTTTGATCAGTTCTGCAAATATGCTTACCAAAAGTCAGGGATTTTCTCTGCCAAGCCGAAGTCACCAACTATTGCCGAATATCCATTCTCATCATGTTTTATTAAACAGTTCTGAATGAATAAAATAGGAAATTGACATCATCCATATCTGTATTCTACTAGTAGAAATTTAAATATATGAAGCCAGATTCTTTCAAATACACATGAAATATATCTGATGTAAGATATTAGTACATGAGCAACCAATCCCCTAAGGCTGTCTCATATATTTTGCAGTTAGGCCATCTCCCTCTCTCTCCATCCATTCACCCACTCTTTCACCCTATTCCTTCTAATTTCCCTGCATAATTCAGGCAGGCTGACAGCAAATTAAGTCACAACTATAATAAAACAGTATTTGCTAAAATACAGTGGAATAAGGGAAGATTTGTGTGGGATCAGTATAAGAGAGGCTAGGTCTGTGGACACAGTAGATAATGAAAAGCACAAGTGTGCTACAGCTCTGTTCTTCTGTTTGCTTTGGTTCGCTCCCAATCAAATAATTTCCTGTACAACTGCATTTCTCAGTAAGTTTCACATGTAAACATAAGTTAGCAGTAGGCAGTAGGAGGCTTCTCTTATATGGCTCCCTGTAGTATCAACAAGTTTAGGTACTCCAGTTTGTCCATATGAATAACAGTTAAGAAAGAGAAGAAGAGGTACATTCATATCAAATATTCACTCATGTACCTGGATAGTTATTTGATTCTCACTCCCAGCTATCATTTGCTTTAACCTGAATCAGTTATACCACACAAAGTTCACTTTGGGATTTATAAATTTACACAAGAACAACTGAATCAGGCCAACCCAACACACACTAAAGCTTCTCAATTACGGCCTTTGTTATCTCTTGTCAAAGAATGCATTCATTCAGTTTGCTTGTGGTTAAATATTTGTTCACTGCAAACTACAGCTAAACCCTAGAGAAATAACATTAATCATACTGCAATGTTAAAACCATGGTGAAAATTCAGTACCTTTGGTGCAGAAATAACCAAGTATTAACAACAGGCAATTAACAAAGCAAAGGTTCTCTCTCCAGCTGGTATCAAATGGTAAGTAATTTTTTGAGGTACAGTACATTAAGTGGCCTTAAAAATAATGTAAAATGTTGAGCTTTCCTCTAAGATGTATGAACTTTAAAAAGTTCTATCTCTATTTTTACAATAAACCTGGAAGTGAGCAACTGAAATATATTATTTACTTTCCTGTAGCACATCAGTTCATTGTTTGGTTTATAAATATTGCTGGGGAAAGTTTTAATCCAGACTAAGAATTGTTTTGATTCAGATTAAGAGGAGAATTGAAGCATTTTTATATTTTATATACAGGAAATGTGAGAAAACCAAGTTAGTTTCATGCTCCCTTAATTTCTTGGGTGTTCCACACAGCTGGCAAATCCTGTTTGTTCAAGCATAACATCATGCCCATGTAGCTGTGCCGAGTATTACTTCTCACAACAAGGAATCTTGCAATTTGACTGCACAATCAGCTGTGTGATTCCCATTGCCACTGCTGCCCACTGAACTGGCAGAATGCTTCATGGCTAGCACTTCTGCTTTGGTGCTTTTGTAGCTACTGCACACAAAACAGAGAGTTATCCCCATGTGGCTAAGCAAGAGGGTTTTGCCCACTGTCTACCCTCTCTGTCACTGAGCAACAGAATAGATACAGGCTTAGCTTGTTATGAAAGGTATTGTAGTGGCGGTGAAAAACAATTTTACAATTGCTGTTGATCTGTTTCCAGTCAGAATTCAAATGCTGGCCATTATTTTTCTAACCTTAAATGGCATGAGAGGAAGCTATTTTAAAGTGCTCTTGTCTTTTCCCTATCCACTGAAGTTACTTAGAGAGTTCTTTTTGTGTGCCCCTCCCATCCCTCACCTTCTGAAAGAGTTTATGAGAAGAACCATTGTTTCAACTAACTTATTTCTATCTCCTCTGACAGTTTTTAAGCAGAGTGTTGTCCTAGACTGGAGATACCAGAATGAATGTGACACGTTCTGTATGCAACTCAGATGTTCTGTATATAGCTATGGTTCTTCCCTTGACAGATTCCAACTCTTCTGAATGTATTGCTGCACTGCTTCTATAAAATGGACTAATACACAAACAAATCTGTCAAAGGAAATTTCTTCATTAGAGAGACTTTTCTCTTTCTGGAGGTTTACACAATTGAAGCTGTAAGTTACAGTGAAATCTCTCCTTCAAGCTGTTTAAAGCAGGTCATTTTGAGCTACAAAGAGTTAACAAATGTTTATGCATAAACAGATGTGAATGAACATAAAGCTCCTTTTGTGTATTGGAAGTGCTTAACATCTGCTTTGCACAGTGTAATCCTAGTAAGGAAGTGCAACATTTATTTTTTCTCTCTCACATAAAAAGACATCTAAAAGAATAATGTGTCCAGGCCAGTGTATTCACCATGTATTTCCAGCAAATTTTCAGTGTTACAGCAAGAAAATTCCTCTGAGAGGATTGCTTTATATTCAACGTGAATTAGCTAAAAAACGTGTTTTGCTAAAAAAGCAAACAGCCCCATCAGCTATAACAGGTGCAAGTTGTTATTTAATCATCACTGGCAATGATGAATGAGGTGGAAAAATATATAGTTTAGAACTATATATTATCTTTGTGAAAATATATAACTAATTCTGTAATGTGGAAAAACTGAGAGAAGTGCTGCCATCTAATAGCACTTTTTTGCCAACACTGGCTTTTAATATATTCTATACTACTAGGATAAATGCTGGAAAATGAAGACTTATGTATGTCCCATATAACTGGGATGGGATGGGATTATTCTTTTGTAAAAAAATTAGAAAATGGTTCAACAAGAAACAGCACAATATGCAAACCCATTGTTAATTTTGCACTGTATCGAAAACATTTTTGCTAAATCTCATTTATTAGTTCCAACTAGATTAGACCCATTGAATCAATGACTGGAATCCTGTTGGTGCAGCTCCACACATATAAGATTGATGTTGCTACCAGCTATGGACTTTAATCTTTAAAGTTTCCTATCTCAGATTCCAAGGCTTCTTTGGGATCCATTTTGACATGGGAAGCTCCAGGGTCATTGGGATGGAGTAAAACCATTCATAATGTAAAATCACATCTGTCACTCATCAGCCTTATGCACACAGAACTGGACAAACAGGATTCCAGGCAATGGGTCAAATTATGTAAGTAATTTGCTAAGGTCCCAGTGATTAAGTGGATCTACTTTAGTGGGGCTAACAATTAGCTGTAGGCAATTAATATAGCCCACTGCAAAACATCAATGTTTTGCAAACTATAAGGTAAAGGTAAAGGTTCCCCTTGACAATTTTTTGTCCAGTCGTGTTTGACTCTAGGGGGCAGTGCTCATCCCCGTTTCCAAGCCACAGAGCCAGCGCTTTGTCCGAAGACAATCTTCCGTGGTCACATGGCCAGTGCGACTTAGACACGGAACGCTGTTACCTTCCCACCGAGGTGGTCCCTATTGATCTACTCACATTTACATGCTTTCGAACTGCTAGGTTGGCGGGAGCTGGGACAAGCGACGGGCGCTCACTCCGTTGCGTGGATTCGATCTTACGACTGCTTGGTCTTCTGACCCTGCAGCACAGGCTTCTGCGGTTTAGCCCGCAGCGCCACCACGTCCCTTCTTTGCAAACTATACAATAATCTAAAAGGTATAGATCTCTTCATAGATGTGGAGAGAAGTAGGAACACAAAGCATGGCTAGCCTAAGGTCATTTTTGTCTTTTTTATTTGTTCTTTTATTCTTATTTTGTTTTTACCTGTAATGCTTGCACAGACTAACACAGCTACCTCTTCCACAACGGTTGAATTAAGTTTCAAAATTGAGATTTCATGATTTGTAGTTCAGTCTTGGGGTCCAAATCCTGTTGCATAGTTACACTGGTAAAAGTGAATAGCATTAACTCACAGTAGCAAATTGCTACGAATTAAACAAGCCTTGGCAGGATTCCTAGCTGCATGTGAAGCCATCCAACTGTTGTAAAATGAGGGAGCCAATAACTGAATTTGCCATTTCCTTGCTGCTGGTGTAAATACGCAACAGGTTCTAGCCACTGAATACTATAATAAAGGTGTAAGCCACCACGAATAGAAATCACAAATTATCCTTTTGTTTATCATTAGTGCAACTCACAGACTCTTAAGACTATCCAATGATAGTAATGCAGCTAAAATAATGTTCAGTTAAAATGCCATCTTATAACATTTCAGACATAAACTAAAGGCTTTCATGGCTAAGATGAAATGACCAGTTAAGATGTGATGCTTCCAGTGAGTTTCACAAGGACCCAAGGTTTGACTGCAGAATCAGTTTATGGAAATCTGAAAGACTCTTATAAACATGAGAAATAGCATTTTGACATCTTGCCTCTCAAAAACAGATGATAACTCTTCATTTCACTCTGTCCAATCTGTACAGAACTAGAAGACTTAAGAGTGTATTTGAGTTGATTATTTGCACTTTTGGCATGTCAGCCTCCATTGTTAAACAGATGCATTTTATTTATGACATACTGTAGTTGAAAAAAGTCATATTCACTAATAGCTTTTATTTTAATCATGTCTTGTGTTTTATACCAATGCCATTTGGGAATTTGTGCCATCCAAATGCATCACTTTCAGGATAGTAAATTTCTGATTGCTTCTCTACCAGTTTCTATTTATATAAAACTGTAGAGAAAATATTTTTTCATACAACTACAATCATAAAAAGTAATAATAACAAGGCAACATACCAGAGTTTAATCAGCAATCTGTACTTATGTTTTGTTCACTGGTGAAACAATGTTAATCTTTTCAAGTTATGGGGAGCACTTAGATATACAATTCTAAACCTTTAGGATAAGTTGCTAAAGCACTAACATAAGCCTATAACCTTTTGAAGTTTTATACAATTTAGCTGTTTACTAATTAAGAGTTAGAATAACTTGCTCCAAAAATGAAAGATGTTGTGCAATCATTTCCCCATAATCCCAGCTCATTTATTTGTGACCTCTATTTCAGGTTAGCTTCCTCTCAGACATCTACACAACATGAGTTGTTCTGGGAAAATTTAATCCACTAAACTATGTTTTAGTGTTTTCTCAGAATCCTTTAAAGTGACCTTTTACATAACAGTTTTAGTGTTTGAGGTACTGAAAGGGGCTGGGGAGAGCAAAGCTATCCAAAAACATTAGCTGTTCACAAAGCATAACACATCTATTGTTAAACAGTTTCATTTGATAGGTACAGTACCTTGGATGTCAGGTCCCGATGGAAAATGCCTTTATAATGAAGGTAACTGAGTCCCAAGGCAATGTCCAATGCCAACTTCACTCTTACTGTCCAGGGTAAGTGCTGATTACTATCTAATAACTGTTCCAGGTTACCACAGTTGATATACTAGGGAAGAAAAACATTTGCCATTAAAAAATAAAATAAAATAACAGATATGGGAGTTCGTAGCAAAGTGGTTCTTGAGAAGAGCCAGTGACCTTTACAACTGAACTTGATTTTGTGGTGAGCTATTCCTGGGTCTAATGTGCCAAACAACTAACTGTATTAATAATATATTAAATTGCAACTCCCAAAGGACAGTTTTGCAAGACAAAAGTACTGTATCATTATCTTTTAGAGCTGTTCAGATAACTCTCACAGGCCAAGCAGAAAATGTAGTCGATGGCTGTCTCTATTTTATTATGTGAAAACTAAAAATGAAAAAATAAAAAGTCAAGTATGTCACTACTGACCCCCATTAAACAGAACAGCTCTATTCAGGGATTCAGAAAGGGGTTAGAGTGAATGCATGAATATGGAAGATTTTTAACTCCATTCCCATCTGCTGTTATCTCCAGAAGAAAAGGGACTGTTTGGAAAACTGCTGCTCCTGTAAAATCAGGATTTCATGGAGATATTTCATTTATAGTACACTGTCTCTTTAGAATTTTCTCCTTCATGTGGACATACCAAAAGCCAGGTCACAAGGTTAGAACTTTCCTGATTATGGTTTCAGATTTTTCTCTTGCTGAACCCCTGAATATGGTTTTTGATAGCAACAAATGTAAATGCAAAACAGCAATTTTGACTTTCACTATATCAAATTTTTTAAAATGTTCATCAAAGCATTATGTTAAGAACAGTAGTCCAATGTAACAATTCATAATACAAAAGACCCCAGATTCCCATTACTATGATTATTTTTACCAGGAGAAAGTATTATGAAGTAATTCAAGGTTTATCTTTCCACCTATATTTCTACAATAAAGAATTTTTGACTTGCTCATTTTCCTGAACACTCTAAGGCAGGGGTCTCAAACTCAATTTACCTGGGGGCCGCTGGAGGCAGAGTCTGGGTGAGGCTGGGCCGCATCAGATTTTCCGCCAAGCGGAGCAAGAGCCCAAGGAAGCTGCCCAGGAGTTTCCTTAGCCCGGCTGGGGCTCTGAGGAGGAGGAGGAGGAAGGGCGTGCAAGCCCTGGTCGCCAGCCACAACCCCCTCCAACTCCTTCTTCACTACCACTGCCAGCAGCAGCAGCAAGACAAAGAAGTGGAGAAGGGAGAGAGTGCCGGCAACTGCCTAGCAGGGGGGGAGGAGGGCATGACATAATGGTTTTTTTAAAAACCCTCACAGAATCGCCTTGCCAAAGGAGAACAGCCCCCATTGGTACCCGCGAAATTAAACAGAACAGGGTGGGGCTCCCACAGGTACACGCACGCATGCGAACACACACACGGAGGTCCGGTAACCTTCCTCTGAGGCCCCCCTCAGAAAAAGGCACACTCAGCAGCAGCTACCTCCACCACGACAAAGGAGCAAACTTTGTAAGGCAAGCCCTGGAAGCCTCCAGAGCTGAGGCGGCTGAAGCAGGACAAAGAGGAGGAGGAGGAAGAGGAAGCACTGCCGGGCACTGAGGCAACCACTGGCCGGGCTGGTGCTGGGGGTGCCAAGACAGAGAGAGCCAGAGAGCCACTTCCCTGGAAGAGGCAGCAGTGGCGGCAGCTGCTGTTGGTGACTTGGAGGTTCTCTTCGAGGATGGGCTGGGAGCGGGCTCTGCTCTCAGGCATCACTCGGTGGCGGCTCGGGTGCTCAGCAGACAGGTGGGCTGGCTGGCAGGCTGCAGTTCCGGATGGAAGGTGCAAGAGGCGCTGTCTTGGGAGACAGCCGGCGAGCGAGGCGAGGCTTTTTTTGACTCTTGACAGCCGAGGACACGTGGGCGCTTCGGGGGGGCAGGCAAGGCGGGGGCCACAAACTATCATCCAGCGGGCCGCAAATGGCCCCCGGGCCACATGTTTGAGACCCTGCTCTAAGGTTACAGACTGCTCAGCACAGAAAACTATAGTGAAATATGTATCACCAACCCAGACTTTAGAACTACAAAGAAACAAGATAGAATTATAAATCACAGTTGTTAAGAGTAAAAACTCAAAAACAAGGGCACAAAACATAAATGCCCAAGATTCCTTCTACCTACACACCTCTTTCAATGCATTCAGACCAAACAGTGATATCAGAGTGCTCTTGTATTAATATAAATCAGTGACCCAGCAACTGTATTTTTGACTAAATTATAAATCAATGATATGTTAATTTCAAGCTGTCTAAAATAATCAAGGATCTAAAGATGATAAAAAATGACAAGTTCTTTGGCTGGATACCAAACCACTTGGGCCAGATTTTAGAAGTCTGCCCAAGTTTCTCAGTCTTTTATGCCAGTAGAGTTCAAGGCCATCTCACAAAAAAGTGTAGTTGTTACTTGTGGGCCACAACTCTGATATTTTGCTACCTCTATTAGGGGAAATTAATTCTCCATATTAGAAAAGTATGCTACTACTGTACATTGATTACTACCACTTGACCCAGATATATACAAAATTCTGCTAAGGTACAGCTGCTTCATACCTGATGCAGCAAAAATCTTTCATTGTGGTCCAGTGTGATATCTGTATGGCAAATACTGTGATAATTGAAAAGGACCATACACTAATTCTGGTTGAAACTGATGTAATTCCCCACACCCTTCACCACAGTTAAAAAAAAAACAAACAAGAAAATTGTTATCTTTTAAACTAGGGAAATCCCCTTGTGCCCTCTAGTACCAAAAATAAAAAATAATTTAAAAAAGTAATGAAGGGTGGGGGTGGTATTCAGGAATGCTATGGAGATTCAGAAGACGGTTAAAATGGTTCTACATTACCTGCAACACACTTTTGAGTCCCCCCCCCAAAAAAAATTTACAGGGTGTGGAGTGACCAGGATGCTGCATTAAGGCTCCTGGGCACCACATATAGCTCACAAGTTACAGGTTCCCAACTGTGTTTTAGAGATGTGCTTAACCATACTGATTTGTTGGCTAACAATCCTGATTACATCATTCAGACACAGTCTGGCAATTTTTATTTCTATTTCATTCATTCATTCATTCATTCATTCATTCATTCATTCATTCATTCATTTATTTATTTTATTCATTCATTCATTCATTCATTCATTCATTCATTCATTCATTCCAGTCTCTTGGTAAGTAAAGCAAGAAAGTCCCTATCTCTAGCTGACAGAATTGAAATTGGATTTACCAGGCATTCTTTGGTACTGCTTTTGTTATTGGACTTAAAATGATTTTTGTACATTGCATTTTTACAAGATAGTTTCAGGTGTTTCCCTTTTCCCTTCACACACAATTGCTGTAGGAAACATCAGTATCAACAACAGTGTGCATAATACATAGCAAACAGGTGCTATAGAGCCATCTTGACCATTGACATTATAGCAGCATCAATTATACTTCTGTGTGGAAGCACAAACTGACAATTCAAAGATCTTTCTATCTCACACTGATTTGCCATTTGGTTTGAGAGCATTTTGTCCATTATGACTGCAACTGAATCTTACCTTTTGATGCTAACTAACACACCCCAAAAAAGAAGCAAAAATCCAGTTGCTTTGTTATATAGGTCAGAAGACAAATGATCTAAGATTCACTTGCTTCCAGTTGGCAATGAAAGATTTCCCACTGAGATTCTCGAGTGTGTACTAACCAAGCAGGCATGGGTGCCCCCCCCAAGAACTGCATTGATGGCTCTTCAACTGCTGAACAGAAACTGATGTTCTATCAACAAGCAACCCAAAAAGTACAGAAAGCACCAAAACGGCACAGTACCAAACTTTAAGGCAAGAAAAAGAATATGGAAGCAAGGTCAGGCCATCTTCCTCCTCGTATTAGTTTCAGTAACTGAAATTTTTCCAAAAGATTTTTTGTTACCAATCTAAAACAATTGTTAATAGCTACGAATTTGCTTCCTGAAACTCAAAATTCCATGATTTTGCAAATATGTCATCTTAACCTCAAATTTTTAGGACTTAGGTCCTAATTTTTAGGTTTGATCCTTTAGTCCTCTCCCACACACCATCAAAGTTTGAAAATAAGATTGTTGTTGTTATGCCATCAAGTCACTTTTTACCCAACTGTTCCATCATTCACCTAGAAACATAAACTACTTCGAAAGGAAATATTTGAAGATGAGCCTATTCTATAATTTCTCTTGACTATACAGAGTCTGAATGTCAAATACATTTTAAATTAATGCAGTCATGAAACAGGGCCTTACTCTACATAATATTATAAAGCCGTGCCCAGAATCCTGTTACATACTTATGGCAGTGTAACTTAAACAGCATAAACATCAGTGGTGATTTCTTACTAGTTAATTTGGTGCTGCTTTCCTGTCATGCACTAAGTCATGCAACTCCTATATGACCAGAAAAATAAGTCGTGGCTTCTTAACTGGCAACGGATTGCCACTGAAATTTACACCACTGAAGCTATGTTGACATGCATAGGTAACAAGATTCCAGCCAAGCGTTCCTAATAAATCAATATATTAGTGATGCAATACATATACGCTCCATCTTTTTTATTACTGTCTGAAACAGTGTTCCAAAACTTGATTTAAAAAGTTAAATGTGTTAAGAAATGTCTCTATAATTGTACAAGTCTTGAAAGATTTAACCAATTCTTTTTAAAGCAAGGTTATCATTTTAATAATTTTAATTTCCAATTTGATTATAATTTTAATTTGAAATTTTGCAGGGAAAAATATGGTCATATACCCACTCTTATTATATACAAAACAGAATCTAGTGGAAAACGACCAGAGCACATTTTTCATAAATGGAATAAAGATTAAGGGCACATTCAATGACACTCAGTAATTAAGACCAAAAGGACTACTATTTCAGTGTAAGTCCCACTAAAAATTTAAATGTGTGCTTGTAGAGCTGCATGGGGAGAAGGGGTTAGGGGGGAGTTACTGATTGGCTCAGCTGAGCATTTTGTTGCCTTCTCCAATACAGTATTTGCAGCAATTTATTCTAAGAAGCACTAAAATTCTGTAAACACATCTTTTCTGCTTCATGAAGTATTGGCAAAAATATCATACAATCCTCTGAAAAGCAGAGAATTAACATTGGAGAAATAATTTCTATTCAGGATCAGGGAAATTCACAGAGCTGGCAACTGCTTTTAGTGTAGTGAAGCAGTCGAAAAAAACTTGTATTTGGTTCCAGAATAAATCCTGCACAAGGTCACTCATCTGCAAATGTTTCAGAAAAGGTTTTTTAAAATTCTGAGCCATGTTACCTTTCTATTTTTAACTATTATAACTACTTGCCCTGGGAGGAAAGGACAGAATAGGCAGTGGATTCATAATCTGTAGTGTTTATTTGTATGCAACAAGATGTAGTCCTAGCAACTGGCTTACACATTATTAACCTGGCCAGTTAGTTCTTCCACTGGATCCCAATCATTCTTGCCACTGTATGAGGAAATCTGTGTAAAGGAGGCTGCACATAAACCAACTTTCATAGATCAAAAGCACTATTGTAGAAACAGGTGCACTTTTTACAGCTGCACAAGCACATGGTGACTATTAGGTATCTGACCTTTATGCCAATTGATGCACAATTAAACACCAAACACATAAGAACAAGGTTCAATAATATGAATGTTTCCCTTTTAGAAGTAATAAATTGGAAAGTTAATATTTCCGGATGTTCATGACCCAACTAAAGCAACCTACTGCCTTGTATATATTCTTTCTCTATATAAGAGCACACAGACAATACCAAACCAAACACAAGTCTTGGTCTTCTTTTCTGACTTTTTCCTTTGATGATCAGCTGTTTCCTTTTCTGCTTTAGTGACACAGAATTTGGTCAGGTCCAATTGAAAGAGCAACTAAAGTCTGCAGAAACCACAGACTCCCATAGCCTGCAAGATCTGTGACAGCAAGAACCTATAGAATTTTGCTAAACCAGGAATGGAAATATTGAATTGCTACGTACAATGGGAAGAAAGGGAACAGAGGAAGCAAGCACGATTTCAATGCTTTTACTCATAAAATTCTACTATAGCGTTTTGTCTGAATGCTTTCACAAAGACCATAAGAATCTGATTTACTCAGCATGTGTTTTGACCTTGCTTGACTTCATGGTGTGAGCAGGACAGGAGATGCTGCAACACAGAACACTGTGCCTTGAAAATATAGACATTTTACCCTACTACTGTTTTCACAATGACAGTACAATGACATGTAGAGTCCATATTTTAGTGTTTCCCTAACAATGTACAGTTTCAAAAAAAAATTCCAAGGTTGTTTTCCCAGATTAACAGAGCAATTCCAACATAATGGTAATGGGAAGTGGAGGGACTGCTACTTTTCAGTCTAGCTGGCTCATGCTGGTCAAGACAGAATAAGGATAGGGCACCATGTTTTCTACTTTTTGTTCTCCTTTTGCTTCTAAGGGAAGATAATTTAATACAGTATACCACTTCTCAGACTGCTGTAATTGGGGATATCTTGGGTGACTGAGGATTAAATTCATTTAACACACTCTTAACTTGCCCTCAAATTACAGCACTCCCAATGGAGCAACCACAATAAGAGAAAAAACTGCCCTCATCCAGAGAAGACCTTCTTCTCTAACTGAGGAAGAACAGGTTTGGACTATCTAATAACTTCCAAGGTGCCCACTCATGGACTTTAAGACTTCAGGTTAAGATTTCAAGTAGTTATTAGAAAAAACTGAAAAAAATATCAACAATACTTTAATAAAAATATATATTAAGCAAATCTGTTTTGGATTTTTTTTAAAAAAACAGAACACTCACACATACAACTAATGCATATTATGAACAGCTTAATTGTTTATCTGTGCATAAACATAAATAAAGCAAAACTTTCACATATAAAGTAACAAAATATCTGTTTTATGCTCACTTAAAACCAAATTCAGTTCAAGTTTCTCAAAAGTCTTGGCCAGTTACTAAAAATAACTGCATAAAATATGCACTGGGATTTCAAGAGACTTCACTACTGAATATGTGAATCAGTTAAGGGCAGCTCCCAAGTCAAAAATTATTTCATGCCAATGTTTGCCTTACTAACATAGCATCTTTATATCAAAAAGAATGCTTTGATACAAGAATGAAAGGTATTTTATTTTTACACTTTTGCCTGTACTATACAAATTCTAATTTCCCTGTATTCAGCACTGGTTAGGCCTCATCTTTATTGTGTCCAGTTCGGGACACCACACTTCAAGGAGGATGCTGACAAACTGAAAGAAGTTTAAAGGAGGGTATCAAGGATCATCAGGGAGCTGGAAACCAAGCCCTATGATGAAAAAGTGAAATAACTAAGCATGTTTACCCTTGAGAAAAGAAGACCGAGGGGAGATATGATAAAACTTTCCAAATACTTGAAAGGCTCTCATTCAGAAGAAGGGCAGGATCTGTTCTTGATTATCCCAGAGTGCAGGACACACAATAATGGGTTCAAGTTACAGGAAGTGAGACTTCACTTGAATATCAGGAAAAACTTTCTAACTATTAGAGCAGTACAGCAATGGAACCAGTTACCTCCAGAGGTTGTGAGTGCTCCAACACAGGAGGCATTCAAGAGAAATTTAGACAACCACCTGGCAGATATCCTTTGATTTGTATTCCTGAACTGAACAGGGGATTGGACCCAATGGCCTTATAGGCCCCGTCCAACTTCATTATTCTATGATTCTAATCTGAAAACAGCACAAAGTGAGCAAAATATAGTCATCACGCAACAAAACATCTAATTCAGAAGGGAGAAACTATGCTTCACCTGCATTTTCTTCCTTTACTAAAACAACTGTCACCACAGAAATTTCAGTCAGTCACTCTTTTCCCTATAAGGAGCACCTCCTGTTCCATTGCTACCATTGCTCTTCCTCCCCAAACACAAAACATTCTGCCATTAACTGGAGCTCTGGCCATCCACTACCACACCTCACTTTGTGTGCTCAACTGCTCATTGTTTTCTCTACAAGCACCCCTGCAACAAAAAACAAACAAAAAAGCCACATGGCCCTTGTACACAATTCTAAGATGAGGGTGGGTAACACTTTTATTAGACAATTACAAAATTACAAACAGAAGCTGATTTTGCATCTTACAGATCATTAGGCTAGGCACCACAGAAGTTTGCACAATGCAGAAAAAAAAATAAAGGCTTCAAAAACTGTGGCCACCTATGTGGTCCAGGCTTCTCTAAAAACGGAAAATACAGGTATTGCCCTCCGACCACTAGATAATATTGATAATTTGGCTACAACTGGTTTACCTACTGCATAGAGTGAATATTATTTCAATATCTCCTAAGCATCTCAAAGTGTTTAAAGCATCATAAAACAAGAGGAAAACATCAATGTAGAAGGGTCAAGAACACAGGCGATGTCCATACAAAACAGGAAAACCCTAGCTCATTGAGAAAAGCCCAGCAAGCAGAGCGAACAAATATTAACCATACAAGTTTCAGCCAGCCAAATCTCTTTAATACAAGCCAGATCAGGATGCTCCTCCAAGACTGGGTCTTAAATGGCTGCTGATTTTTCCTTCAGTGATTTAACATTAGCAGCAGAAGCAGCAGTTTTAGATTAGGGGATCTGCTGCCAAGATTACCTAGGCTATTTTAAACAGGGGACAGTTTGGGGGCAACCAAAACTCAGTTTTACTCCTTTCTCACAGAGTACTGATCATGCTGCTCCCCTCTCTCTACAGTATATTACTGCCCTGTACAGGTTTAATGTCAATCATTAATAACATGGATTCTGTAACAGCACAAGATGGCAACAATGAAGCTTATTGCAAAATTTATTTCTCAAGGAAGAAAGTCAAAGTAAGATTGACTTCTACCAATTCTTCCTTCTTTGGAAAAGAACAGATGTCTTAGCTTTCCTCAGACAAAGGCCAATATCTTCCAAATGTTCAAAGCAGGCATGGGCTTCTCAGTTCTCAGGCTTATAGCATTCCATGTGTTTCAATTCTGCACTGCTACAGAACACAGAAACTCACAGGCAGAAGATGGATTATAAAGTTTTCTAACAACTTTGTAACACTTTGTTTGATTTCCTTCATGTGTAAAGGACAGAAAAAGGACCCACATAAAATAACTAGAAGGGTCTAGCTTTCTTTATTATTGACTAGTCATACAAACAAAGCAAAAAACAGATGTAAAATTTAAGACTATGGAAGCTAAGTTTGTATTTCATATACTGTACTGATCTTCCAACAGATGTACAACATACTATAGTTCAAATTCAAGCAATTCAGATTAGAATTCTTATTTCACCTATAGCAAAAAGGAATGGAAATTACAAGAAATAGTGCACCCTTCAAGCATCCTGTCTGCAACTTGCTATGATCTCAAGATGGTTCATGTGCCCTGATATGACAGACACAAACACAGATTTATAAAGCAGGATAACTGGATTTCAATTATGAAAGTGCCACTGAAAAATCAGGAGATGTTCTTAATGCACTTGGCTTGTAGAGCAATCATATGCCACAGGATTCTCTTGGTGGCAGCAGCCAGGCTGAAGAACGCAAAATCAGAAAAGACCTGTTCTCATTAGACACCAGATATAAATGTATTTTGTTTGCACAAGCTTTTTGGAGATAAGCAAGTGCTTCTTTTGTTAGCTGTTGATTATTATGACTGTTTTTATTATAAACAAGTGATTTTAGAATTATAATTTTAATGTTTCTGTGTTGTGCTACATCTCATGAATGCCAGCCCCTTTGAGTTCTTTATGAAGGGCAGGATATAAATGAAAGCAAATATATGAATTCTAAAAAAATCTGGATCAGATGTTCTTTATTTATATCTGCTCAGCAAACAATGGTCTTTAGCACAGTTATTGGTAATCTAAGTAGCCATGGGCTGTACATATGAGAAACAAGTTGGTAAGTAATAAATACAGTCATACCTCAGTAAGAGCATGCAATTGTCCTTGATGTACACAGACACCCATAAACCTACAAAACAAAAGCAAACAACTTTAAAAAAAAACAAAAAATAGGCAGCACATTTTGTCAACTTAGCTCTCTGTGCATTTGAATTTAATATGACATGTTATAGCTCCTATCAATTTCTATGTACAAAGTATTTGAAGATTGGGTGCCAGTTCTTAATTCTGCCTACTCCCAGACACACGTGGGACTTGGGGATCAAATGCAACTACTGACATTTTCATGTGCAGACAATTACAGTGTGGGGTAGTGTTAAAAGAATTAGTACTTCATTTTGATGTTGAAAACATACATAAGGTAAGTGTTTGGCATTGCTTTGGCAGTTTGTCCCATCAGTGCATACAGACCACAACTACTATAGCTAGGACCTTTGCATGTGAAAGGACTACCCAGCGGGCAGCCACAGATTTGCAGATGGATGAGGTTTGTCGTATAAATTGATACATATAAAACTTTGCATTTTTAGCACAGTACCACACGAATGACAAAAGCCTAAAAATCAGTTTTAGGCAAGAACTAAACAGATTTATATTGAACTCAGAATCATGCACTTGTTTCAACTACAGTATGCATATAATTAATTCCAAAGTGTATTTATTTATTTAAAATATTTTTTAAACCACCTTTCTCCTTAAAAAGCATTCAAGGCAGCTTACAACAATTAAAATACAGTATTTAAGTTAATAACAATGAGTTACTAACAGGATCAATGAATAGAATACAAAAAAAAAAAGACAAAAAGACAACAAATTCATTAAATGTAGTAAGGCACAACAATCTATTTAAAAAAATCCAAATCAGCAGCTATTCGCTCAGAGAAAGCCTGACTGAAGAGAAAGGTGTTTACTGGCTTGTGGAAGTACAGTAAAGATGGGGCCAGTCTAGCCTCCTGTTGGGAGTGAATTCCAGAGTTGGGAGAAGCAACAGAGAAGGTTCTGTCCCATTTCTCCACCAAATGCACCTGTGGAGGTGGTAGGACCAAGAATATGGCCTCACCTGACGAGCTTAACATTCAAGCAGGCACATAAAGGAACATGCAGTGCTTGAGATAGCTTGGGCCCAAGCCATTTCGGGTTTTATAGGTTAGAACCAACACTGTGAATTCTGCCTGAGAACAGATTAACAGCCAGAGAAGCTGCTGTAACGGGGGGGGGGGGGGGTTCAGTTAAGCTCCTGATTTAAAATGTAGCCTAAAGGTAACATCAATGATGATCAGCCTATTGATTGAACAAGTTACCATTCAATAAAGATTCATTCAATAAAGGTTCAGAAACCTAGTTGACAGGACTTCATCTCATTCATCCCTGGAAGTCCCAAGTTTAGCAATGACCAGAAGTCATTTGCACAGCTAAAACTGATGTACCAGATGAGTCCTTACATAACTTAGTTACATCCCAGCTGGATCACTATAACATGCTCCATGAGGGGCTTTCTTTGAAGCCAGTTAGCAAATTTCAGCTGGCTCAAAATGCAGCTGTCAAATTATTGACTTATTAAGTGCTCCTTTATATTCTCAAGTACCTTTCTATATAAAGTCCTATATGATGCAAGACACATATTAAAATAAGCTATTTCCAGTGAATTTTAACAACAATTTGAAAAATAAACCACTACACGAACATCTGAGAAATGCTGATGGAAAGCATGATAATAATTCAACATGGTAATGGCTAAAACTAGGGACTATTAACAAAGAAATCAAAGGCTTGATTTTTGCTGCACAAGAACAGGCACTTCAAACTACAGTAATGTTATGAAAGCTAAGATTCAAGGAATCAGTGCTAATGGCAAATGTTGACTCTTGCAAGAAAAACATGAAACTGTGTCACACCTAATCTGTGAATGTCCAATGACTGCACAAATAGATTACAAAATTAGACATGACAGAGTGGCACAATTAGTGTACTGGTCATTATGCAAAACATACAACTTTTCAGCCTCCAAAAACCCATGGGAACATCAGGAAGAAAAGGTGTCAGAAAATGACAAAGTCAAGATCTTGTGGGATTTCTGCATCCAAACTGATAGATACCTCAAACATAACACACCAGACATAGTAGTAACAGAACAGAGAAATGTCTAGATAAGAAGACATTGCAATTCCAGAGGATGGCAAAGTTGAAGGTAAAGAACTGGAAAAAAAACTAACAAATACAGAGACCTAGCAACTAAAATATCAGGCTTGTGGATGAAACACACTTCAGTGGTCCCCATAATCATTGGGGCTTTGGGAACAATATCAAGAAATTCCATATTGTATTATAAGCAGTTGTAGATTTCAGAAATAACACCATCAGAGCTATAAAAATTGCAATACAGTATTAGGAACAGCATGTATATACTACATTGATATTTAACAGATACTTAAGTTTTTGGTTAAAATTTGTGTCTGTTATGTAATACTAGTCAATGTTTTTATAATTTTGAGTGACTGCGCCTGTTGTTGTTGTTGTTGTTGTTGTTGTTGTTGTTATTATTATTATTATCATCATCATCATCATCATCATCATCAATAATAATAATAATAATAATAATAATAAGAAGAAGAAGAAGAAGAAGAAGAAGAAGAAGAAGAAGAAGAAGAAGAAGAAGAAGAAGAAGAAGAAGAAGAAGAAACAGCAGTAACAGCAGCAGCAGCAGCCATCAAGTTAATTCTGACTTATGATGTCCTTTTTCAGGATTTTCCAGGTAGAGAATACTCAGAAGTGTTTTACCATTCCCTTCTCTGGGGGTGCCCTGGGACTGTGTAATTTGCTTAAAGCCACACAAGCTAGTTCTACTCACAGGAGGCACAGTGGGGAATTGAATTCTCAACCTCTACCTCCACAGCCAGATACTTAAACTACTGAACATCCAGATATTTAATAATAGATGGGGTAATAATTGTAACTGGACTCAAAGAAATACAATAAAATAAGAAATCTTTGAACATAAAAAGAAACTGATCGTTAACAGTAGAATTAAGCAGACATGTTCTATCTTATTCAATACATGAAAGTTTTGCCTTAAAGTGGAACACAGGGCCAAGGGTGAACATGCTTGGTTCGTTATAGCATATGGCATCAAACATGAAAACAATACCCCTCAAAGGCTTGTATTACATCACTGGTTATAGCAACCTGTATGGATATCAGATTATTTCAAAGGAAAGGTTATTAAGTTAATGAACACAAAGCTTAGAACCTCATTGAAAAAATTAAACTAAAACCATACATTTGACAAACCATTTTTGTCCCAGAAACTTCTTCATGAAAAAGAAAGTGTGAAACGTGTGAAAGAAATTATGAAACCCTGTATCTTCCTGTTCAGTGTTTAAGAAAAATCTGTCTAGAAATAGATTTCAAAGATGCATTAAAAAGCAAATTTATCATCCATACTGGCACAGACACAGAAGTCTGAAAACCAAAATTAGTACCAAAGAGACCAATGTCAGGCAACCTTCAGAAGTCCAAGGGCCACACAAAACCACCACTGGGCCTTGGAGGGTCTTAACCACTCCCATTACTCTCTTTAAAAAACAACTTTCCAACAAAAATTGGATTTATGGTGGAGGGGTCTATATGTGCTATAGAGTCCCACAAATACATTTTTAAAAATGCAAAAATATTGTGCAAGCTTTCAGGTTCTTTAGACCTATTTATGAAGCCTCATATGCCCTGTAAAAGTAGACTTTTCCAACTATTTTCTATTACACTTTTTTTTAATGAACTGCGTTCCATTAAGTGCTGGGGACTACATTTAGACCTCTGGAGCTTCATGTGAATGAAAGGCTACATGTTGCTCCCACCCACTGTAGAAACTTACATAAATAAATGTAGCCCTCTCTCACTTTTCATTTAAGCCTGTAAACAAATGCAGATTCCATGGCTTTCTCATCAGCTATTCTTCCTCTTGCTCCCTCCGTCGTCAGTCAGTTTACCATCTAGCTTCATAAATAGGTCTGAAGAACTGAAAGCTTGCATAGTAATTTTTCACTGTGTGATAAAAGTTCCTTCCCCTGTTGGGACCAGCATGACATTAGTGGAGATTTTTAAAATTACTTTCTCTGTTTAGGCTACCTTGTCAGATAGGATAAACTGATGCTTTAATTCTCCCTAGGAATCCTTTATAGATCTCTAGGGGGAAAAATCAGAAGTCTGTGTCACAGCTGGCATTATCCCAAAAAAAGGTTAATTCCAGAAATCACTGACAATAGTATCAAAATTCACCTGAGTATCAAAGTATAAGTCTTTTTCACTGTTGCAATAATCCCATGCAATGTTGGCTTGTCTATTCCTTCATTTCTCTACATTGCTTCTATGTTCCATAAGCGCAAAATACTTCAGAGTTATAAAAATACAAAACTCTTACAGCTATGTAAAAAATATAGGCACAAATGCTTAAAAATATATCAACACTAAAGTTAAGTCAGACTTCAGTCCAAAATACAGTAAAGATATCTTTTAAGCGTAAATAAGAACAATGAGAATGGTTGTTGTAGGTTTTTCAGGCTCTTTGGCAGTGTTCTGAAGTTTGTTCTTCCTAACATTTCACCAGTCTCTGTGGCGGGCATCTTCAGAGGATAGGAGTCACAACTCTGTCTTGTGTTCTGGTGCAGTTTTGTGGGATAGTTGAGTATTTATAGCTGTGGGATCAGCTTTTGTCCTTTTCAGGAAATTGGGTGATTGATGGGTGTCATTAGCTGGTCTTTTGTGTGCAGTGATCACCGGTCCTTGTGGCTAGGGAGAGTTAGATGACCTTTTGCAGGCTGTATTTTTCAGTGCTGGGAGCCAGGCTTTGTTGCGTTTTAGACTTTCTTCTTTTTCATTGAAGCTCTGCTGGTGTTTGTGGATTTGAATGGCTTCCCTGTGCAGTCTAACATAATGATTGCTGGTGTTGTCCAGTACTTCTGCATTTTGAAATAGAATTTCATGTCCAGCGTGTTTCAGGGCATGTTCAGCTACTGCCGATTTTTCCGGCTGTTGTAGCAGTGACAAATCATTTCTCCCCCTTATCACAACAATACACCCACAACAAAAGCATGCTGATCATCATAATCACCCAATCTCCTGAAAAGGACAAAAGCTGATCACACAGCTATAAATACTCAACTATCCCACAAAACTGCACCAGAGCACAGACAGACTTCTGATTCCTATCCTCTGAAGATGCCGGCTACAGAGACTGGCGAAACGTTAGGAAGAACAACCTTCAGAGCACGGCCAAAGAGCCCAAAAAACCTAAAGCAACCATCGGATCCCGGCTGTGAAAGCCTTTGTGAATACAACGAGAATGTTTCTACATTCTAAAAATGCAAGAGCTTACAGCCTAAGAACACATTTAAAAACAGAACACATATTTTAAAATATCAAATTTGTTAAATATATATATAAAAGAGAATAATTTCCTTAGCCTCTAAGCATATTAAGAACACACAGAGGAAAAAGAGCTCTCCCCACCAAGCCAGTTGTGTGCCAGTTTGCATCAGTGCTATTCTTTAATGTTTGGTGCCCAAAGTGATGTGCAGTTGTGATTATGTACTTAATGGAATGCCCGTTACTTCCCTATATATACATTATTATTTCAGTGATCGAAACCAATCCCCAATTTGTAAACAATCTCTTTCTCCAAGGCCTGGAGTTCCACAAGTCTTGCTCAAGGAAAAAAAAATTAATGGGAATCTTAATTGTTGTTCATCTATGGTAACTCCAAAGTTTTTTAACTTTGGCAACCTGCCACTATGCTGATAACATTATTATTTGGACTAACAGTTTTTGCAAACCCTACAGCAATGGTTCCCAAGCTTGGGTCCCCAGATGTTCTTGGACTAAATCTCCCCAAAGCCACCACCACTAGCTGTGCAAGACAGGATTTCTGGGAGTTGCAGTCCAATAACATCTGGGGACCCAAGCTTGGAAACCACTGCCTTAGAAGAATAATACTCTAACATAAAGCACTTGTAACACTAGATTCTTGATTGCCAGGATATTGTCACCCTAAAATCCTCACCATTGTGTTCACCACTGAACTCAAAATATTATAATCACCAAAATACTGCACTATAAGACTTACAAGCACCACTTCATGTTTACATTGTAATATAAACAATTTCATTATGACATTAAAAAGTTCATAATAAACTGTGAAGAAATGTTATTTTAGAATGATCTTGCTTAGCTGGAGAGTCAACTATTTTGGTACACTTTAAAATGTTGTGCAATAACTATAGTGACCTATATTAATCAAGCTTAAATTTTAAAAGTACTTTAATTTTCAGAACTATTTTTCACTTACTCCTCTTTATTATTTTCACATTCTAAACACAAAAACCTTGATAACCTACTCCAATATAGCTATTTGCTGAACAAGGGTAAATATAGATATCCACATGCTTTTGTTTCTTCTCTGCATTAATATATTGTTTTAGGTGATATTTTTGGCAAGGGGAGATTTTCAGTAATTAAAAGAGTTCCTACCTCCATCCTGGAGCTCACACAGTTAGCATGAATAAGACTAATAAAATACAGTGGTGCACCGCTTGAGGACAATAATGCGTTCCAGCAAAATCGCTGTACAGCCAAATCATCGTCAAGCGGAAAAAAAAATATTGGAATGCAATGAAAACTGGTCAATGCATTCAAATGGGGGAAATACTGCTCATCCAGCGAAGATCCTCCATAGGGCAGCCATTTTGCGATGCCTGTGTAGCAAAAATAGGTCCGGAAAACAGTGGGGAGCCATTTTGCGAACCGCGATCAGCTGTTTTTAATCGTCATCTAGTGAACAATCGGTTCGCGAAGGAGGGTCCAAATCATCATGTATGTGAAAAAAAAAACCCCATTGAAACCATCATTTTGCGATCGCTATAGCGATCGCAAAAAACTCATCGTTAAGCCATTTCGTCATCAAGCGGGGTCATTGTCAAGCGGGGCACCACTGTACGACATAAAGTCTTTTCTCCCCATGCCAGTGCCACCATCACCCTTACAAAGGTGTCATTTGTAGAACAGGATTTTAGCCAATCAATTCTAAATAGACCTGACCATCTCCAGATACAAACACTCACACACACTCTTTCTCACACACACCTTTCTTACTTTAATATGTTTGGATGTGAAAGTCTGTTCATGAGCTGGACTTCTTTCAGCATATTTGCACGGTTGCTGCTTAGTGTATTCATCTTCAGAGCCATAACCTGATCAGATACTTTGTGCCGTACCTAAAGAACAAACAAAAGAGAAAATATGAGATATCAGTATAGTGTAGTGTAGTGTGGTGTAGTATGCATTTAGAGCATTTATATTACACACAACATTCTGAGATCTCACGGTAGAATACAACAGCAGCACTGAAAGAAACAATTCAGTCGAACTAATTAAACATCGAAAGCTAAATACAGTACATTAAAAACAGCAATAGAGAAGCCTCCACAATCTATTAAAGTGATGATTCTTAATCCCTGAAGACTTTGGTGCACAAAGAAAGATGAACTGGGTCTATCAAATCTCAAGGAAGTAACTATGCTCTCTAGCATGCAGTCTGGCCAGAATAATAACCTTATACATATTTCAGGACTTTTCAATACATACCTGACAAGAAAGTTTTCACTGCTTTCTTTCAACTTCTAAGTGGCATATGTTAATGCATATAATTAGTAAAGCACAGGACTGTCAACTTTGCAAGATTCTGCATAAATTACCTTTTTGTAGGTGTGCCTGTGAACCAGGAGGCAAAATGGAGTCACCTCTCACTGGAGGGCCGTTCATTACCACAAAGAATAGAGAGTGAAAGGGATTATCGACTAGCAGCTCCCTCAAAGAACACTACAGAGGATTCCCTCAAGTGGGCAAAAGGAGAAGAACTGTCCCAGGGCCTAAAGGGGGTGGGAAAGTTAAGAGAACAGTTAGAAAAATTGGGAAAGACAGAGGAGGAGGTAGAAGTGGGGGAAGGAGAGGAGATAAAGGAGGAGGGAATACTACCACCGGGTTTGGAGTGGATCTGGTTAGAAGACCCTTGGACTCACAGGTGGAAAAGACTGAAAGTATTCAGGGAGGAGGCAGATCATAGAAGAAGAGCAGTGATTCCCCCAAAACCTTCATACCGGGGAGTGTCCAAAACAAAGGAGTGGAGGAGGAGATTAAGGGAAGAGAGGGAGAAAGTGGAACAAAAAAGAAGGGAAAGGAGAGAATGGTGAGTGTGGGAGATGAAGAGGAAACCAGAGCTGAGAGCGCCTGGGAAATCATGGAACCCGGGGAGAGAACCAAGTGGGAGAAATTTTTGAGGGAGGAATCCGTGCCCGTTGCCTGTATCAACGGGGACGACCATAAAGGACTTGAACCGGCTGAGCAACCAGGTCCCTGGAATTCGAGTTTTGGTAACACTTTCATTCAGGAAGAGTGGAAACCCTTTCCAGCCCAATTGGAAGGAAAGGAGAAAGACTATGTTCCAGTTGAAGTTAATTGTAATTCAATAATTCTAAAATAAATGTTCAACCTTTGCAACTAAGATTGGTGTCCATATTGGAAGATGCAGGAATACGAGAGGAAGGGAGACAACTCAAGATCCAACCTGAACCATCACAGTGTCAAATTTGAATGTGCTCAGATATATTTAAGGGCATGGTTACGTATCTTTAATCACACAAGCCTTCAGATGTAGTCCTTCCAAAATAACATACATACGCTATGGAAACACCCAATATTTAAGTTCTGCATGTACATGCTCCCCCAGAGCTCCACTGAGGCTGTTGCACAGGCAGACGGCAGCAGGTTTGTTTACTTCCCATTTCAAATGAAGTCCCACACAATACTCTGCATATGGAGCAAGGCTCCCATGCAGCAGAACAGAAAATTAGAGGGAACATTGGCAACACCTAAACATTATGGTGCCAAGACAGATGATTCATTATGTAAACAGAGTTTCCACTTATCTTCAACATACTGAACATAAGTTTCAGATCTGATCTGGAGAACCAGATCTGACATACTTGCACAGCAATTCTACATTGTTTATATCTTTCATATAGGTATTTTCTGGTATGCACGAGTAATGCGTCTTTCTTCTCAGTGATAAGACAAACTGATAAACAGAAGTATTCAAGCAAATATTTCAGCTTTTTCCTTCCTCATTTGCTCTCTATGTATGCACAGGATGTATGTTAGAGAGCAGCTCACTTCAATTCCAGTTTAGTTAGTTGTGTCAGAAATGGTCAATAGAAGATTTGTGTTGGAATGAAGTCTGAATCTAGAAGTAAGAATTGTGAGGTAGGTACCGTAGATAAAAGCTGGGCTGCAATCATCTATCTATCTATCTAAAACAACTCTACTTAACTATAAAAAAGAAAAATAAGTAACGAAAGAGACGTAAGTAAAACTATTTCTATTGTATGATTAGAATTTAACAGGTTCTAATATCAAAACTTTAAAACAAATTATCTTCTTTCTGGAGTATAAATCCTGTTTATTATTTCTGAAAATCAGTAATATCAATAATTACAAGACATTGCACCATGCACACTGGCCAATGTTGGGATGCACAGTCAAACTTGTGTTAGTGAAATAACATATTCTCTGTTTTAAAAAGGGAAGTATAAATTTAGCTCTTAGCCGTAGCAGTGTTTAATCAACAGAGAAAACTGCATGTTTGCTTCCTTTTGAAAAAAAAAAGAAATATTCCAAGGAAAAGAATCCCTCTTACAAGTTATACAGCAAACCCATACTTGGTTGAGTTATTTAACTCCATTTTCACTTGGTTATGGCACACATGTAGAAGAAGGTGGAATGAGCACCACAACTACAAATCAATACGTATTCTAATTTACTTCTTATTTGGAGCCCATTTTCTCATGGTACAGTTGAAATGTGGAAGGCCCGCAGAAAAGACTATTTATTTATATGTTATTTATAGGCCATGCTGTAGCAAAAGTCATCAGGGTGGTTTGTGGAACAAATTAAAAATACAATATAGCACAAGACAACATTAATACATCCAATAAAGTCAGATTAAAAATGCAGCACCCCAGTGCAGCTATTCTGGTCATACAGAGTGAAGGAAGATGGAAGGCATTAGTGTATGTTCCATAACATCCATTTAATAACTTCATATTTGAAATCTTAAGGGAAGGGACTTAGACATTATTGACAGATCAGGTTATTCTCCAAATTCTGTTTTCATGCTTTTGTTATCTTAACATTTCTGAATTGTGTTAACAGTCCCAAAAGAAATCTTCAGCAGAAAAATTTGAATACATTTTTCTCATCCCTTAAAAAACTCAAAACATAACTAAATGTTAAACTTTCAAAGATGGGAACTATATGTGTTCAATTTTTTTCTCAAGATCTCATTTGGCCATATGAACATAAGGGCTATATGCTAATCATATCAGCCATCTGCAGAAATCAGGAACAACAGAGAAGCGAAATTATATAGCATTATTTAACACAATATTAGTAATTTTTCTCACCCTTTTCTCTTTAGAAACAGAAGGAAAATATTGGTATCTTAAACTGAAAACTTTCATACTAGTTAATAAAACTTATTTTTTAAAGGCTGCAACCACTGGGTGGAGTAAGTACCACTGACATTGGCAAGGCATGCTTCTGAGTAAGCCTGTTCAGGACGCCATTGTAAATGTATAACCAAGAAAACAATTGTAATTAATGTTTGCAGTTTATGAACTGTTAACATACATCAAGGAATACAAAGGTCATTGCTAGTTCAATCTTTTATTTACAGGGAGGATTTTCAATAGGAACTTTTTGTAGTATATGTACTTATAATTTGGATTAGTTTTGTACAAACAAAATTATAGAAAATGATAAAACAGCTCGAAAAAGGTTTGCTAGACACAGAGCAACTTCCTATATATTTTATATAGACATTAATAAACGATCCAGAACTCTTCTGAAAACTAAGCATTCATTAATGCATCAAAAACCTGCTCAATTTTGAGAAGCTAGTTAATGCTAACAAAAGCTTAACATTTAAGAGTGAACTATAGACTGGCTTGTGGGCTGCCTTCCTCCTATGGCATGCTTTTAGACCAGCAGTTCCCAATCTTGGGTCCCCAGATATTCTTGAACTAAAACTCCCCAAAGCCTTTACCACTAGCTGTGCTAGCCAGGATTTCTGAGAGTTATAGTCCAAGAACATTTGGATGCTTAAGGTTGGGAACTACTGCCTTAGAAGAACTGAGAAACTTTCACTTGTACTGTATTTTAGATGAATCAGTTTGTTATATCATACTGCACCAGGAAAAATCATCATTAAACTTTACCATGATCAATGAAACAAGCCAACTTCAAAACATAGCTTGCTTATTTCTACCAACCATAAATGAGAGTAACCAGTTTGAGGTTCAAAATGAAAATCTGAACTCTTAGTAAATAATGAACAAAATAAATGCCTGCTTATCTTTTCATGGCTGCACAGTAGTGGTAGAAGTGAATAAAACCATAGCTAGTTCTCAATTATTTTTATCAAACCATCACTCTTTAGTATTACACTTGAACAAAGCAACTAGCAAGTTTATCCAAGATAAGAAGAAGGGAAGTGAGAAAAGTTACACTGTCTACAAAGAGAAAACTCCAGGTGTCTCAATTTGAATCTCATCCCTCCGCCCCCCCCATGCACACAGGGCTCCCACCAACCACTGGGGGCAGCTTCCTTTTCTAAAAGCAAACTACTGTATATTAGGACTCCCTGTCCTGGGCCATGGCACTTTCCAGCCCAGTCTTCCTGCAGATAAGAACAATCTAGGTGTCTGTCTGGTAGGTGGAACTTCCAGAGTTGAGAATTCTGGGATTTAGAAACTAAACAAAAATGAATGCACATGAGTAACAACTCTAGGACCACTGCATTAATTTCTCTGGCAAGTATAATGATGCTCATGGTGTTGCAATAAACACTGGAGAAGAGGCAATAGAGATGATACCACAAATATACTTTGGCTACCAACGTGTACTACAGAATTTCAGAAGATGATCAGTCTATGATTTATGAACTACAGCAAAGCCTTTAACTACCTGGATCAAAAAAAGCTACTGATTGTCTTAAAAGAAACAAGTGTGCCTCAACACTTTATTGTCCTAATGCATAACCTATATCACAGAGAAGCAGCCATTGTTAGCACACACTATAGAGAAACTGAATTGTTTTCCATTAGTAAAGATGTCAGACAAAGATGGATTTTATCACTCTATCTTTTCAATCTGTATGCCT